GTGGATCCAATACCAAGTCACTTAATCAGTAGTGCTTTTGGGCCAAAACAATACTTTATGCCAGTACACAGGGAACAACATAATTTTGATACTTTTGTGGAGAAAATACGAGCAAAAGGTTTACTTTTCAGCCAAACTGATCTACAAACCTAAAGGCCACAGTCATACCGTTATTAGATAGAAGAACTCAGGGAAAACAGTTCCCATGAGCTCTTCCTGAGACGGCTTAGAAAGCAAGTATCTAGCAACCAAGAGATGATTGGAGAAGCTCTAGGATAAGGATGTATGGTGATGGTGAAACATATTTAACTGTAGCAATAAGATTAAATAATGGAGAATGAAATGACAAAACACATGTAATTGTTATTTGCTCTGATAATGAAAATATAACTATGAAAGAGGAGAGAGAGAACCAAAGGGAGTCTGCAGGGCAAGCAGGAGTAGCATGCCGATTGTCTTATAGATGTTAGCTGGTACTACAAGCAAGAACAGTGCTTTAGATTACACGGGAAGAGGGGAAGGAGGGAAAGGTTGGCCTGGCAAATGACAGTGTTATGGCAGGAGATGTAGACAAAAACCTTTAAAATTTGAAATCTTTAAAATATTAAACTATTATAAAGGTGAACATCTCACATAAAGGATAACGTTTAGAAAAATACACACAACTTTCTAAATAACAAACGAGTATTTAAAAAGAGAAGGGCAGAAAAAGCAAACAAACAGCACATTCTAGAGGCACACAAATGTTCATCGGCAGGGGACTGGTTGAGTAGACTGCGATGGATCCATATAATGTGATGCTATGTAGCTATAAGGAAGAATAAGCAATCTCTGTCACATATTGTTCTGCAGGGCATATGGAGTTCCACAGGGTCATATTGCACTGTATGGTGCAGAGTAGTGTGCAAAGTGTGCTAGGTGCTAAGAAAAGGAGAGAAACACAAAGATATTAGTAGTGCTCATAGTTTTAAAAAATGAGAGGAAAAACACGAAGTTAATAAAATGGTTACTGCTAGGGTAGCCTTATATTTGTTTGCTCAGAATACCTCTGGTTAATACCTTTTGCATATCAACAGAAGTGCAGGCATCTAAGTGGTACTCATTTCTGGTACTGTGTATAGGTAGACCCTGGACTATCTAGAAAGTAGATAGCTAGGAGAAATGCAAAGTGTTAGCCCTGAACATAAAAACATGAAATACTACTCTCTCCATTTTAGACAAAGAAAAGTTTGCACATTATGTTTATCTGTAATAGGACAATAGAAGAGTTTCTTAGGAGTGTTCTGGAATTAAATAGGTTAATGTAAGTGAAATATGTGGGAAAGTTCTTAGCACATAATAAGCATTATATAAGTTTTAGCTATTATTCTTTTTCTAGTTGTTATTACCATAAAAGATTGTACTCTCCCTGATAACTATGCTTTATTTTAGGAGGTGGGCATGCATGTGTTCACATGTCTATGTGCCTACTTGCCTACTTTCTGTAAGTTTCCTGGATGAAATCACATTACTACAGAGAGAAGTGGGCAGAACTTCACACCACGGTGGAGCAGAGATAAGGAAAGGGATCAGATGTGGACTATTCTTCTAAAGCCCTTTATGATTTTTATTTTTATTGTGGCTGAATCCCTCTGCATTTCGGCATGAATTCTTCTGGAGAATGCTGTCTCCCACACAGTGGGTCCCACATTTTTGCTGAGTCAGGAGAGGAGGACAGATCCTCGAGGAAGGACAACTCCAGGGGGAACAGAAGAAGGAAGGGGGTATCCAGCACGTGAGGTATGAACAAGAGGCTGTCTTTGTGCTGCAGGAGGGAGGGAAGTGAGGCAAGATGAACACATCACTAAGAATGGAGGTTCTGCCAAGCTGGGTCAGGCTGGTATAGGAGCTCCTGCTTTCATTTTCCCTGGGACTCAGTGAACAGGCCTATCTGCCATTCTGATTGGAGTGTCTTCCTTTATGATAAGTCCCAGCAGATGTCCTAAACCTCTGGAATACTCTGCACTTCAGAAGCCCTGGGTGAGGCTATTATAATTACAGGCTCGGGCAGGAAGAGGAAGAGCAGCTTTTTCCCATCACTTTCCCTGGGAGGTCAGGAGACCAGCTGCAGCACTGGGGGGCCAGGAGGCAAAGCAGCTCAGCCGCAGATCGTTGAGATGTATCTGGACAGGATGAGAATCAAGCCATCTACTTTCTAAACTACATTAAAAGAAAATGATCCTTGAAGGAGAGGAGAACCCTTGAGGTCATAAGCATATTAAAATTGGAAATGCAAACATCCTCTAAATTATCCATAGGTCCCTCTGATAATCAATCTCAATGCCATTCAGCAAGCATGCCTGGAAAAACTAACATATGGTGGACACTGCTCCAGAGTCAAGTCCTGTGGACTGGAGATGCGGAAATACCTAATGTACATACTGTACCTTCAAAGGCTCACAATTGTGTGTGGAGAGAGATATTCCTAAAAACAGTGATAATACGTCAGGATTATCACAGGGGAGACAGTGATTTACAATCATTTGTAACTGGATCAATTCATTTGCTCAAAATTTCAGATAATTTCCCATAGTGAGAAGCTCAGAGGGGATGGATGCCTTTAATGATGTCCACCCAAAGGGGTCCAAGGCCACAGGCATCTTATGAAAAACTAAGCTCAGGAAATTTCTGGAGGGTTAATTCCCACCCTGTGCTCCATATTTTCTATTTATCTGGTCCCCAGAGTTTCCATCTTTTGGGCTCCCCACCGACATTCTCTTTCTCAGTGATGCATCTTTGGATATTCTGAGGTGCCTTAAAAAGGAAGACACTCTGATGAATCAGCAGTGACCTCTGCGAGGCCCTATCTTGAGCAGGACATGTCTGCATTCAATGGCCACCTCAGACAAAGGTGTCTTTTCCCTTTGTTCCTCCAGACGGTGATTTTATCACTCCTTACCCGGCTGTCTTCTCAGTGACATCCTTTATTTTCTTTGATCTCAGGCCTTCTTTTCAATGAGTGTGGTATAATTAGACAGAGCTGGAATCCTTTTATTTTATCCTTTTTGCCATGTAGGCCTTATCCATTGACCCTGGGAAGGATAGAGTGGTCTGAACTATGTTCCTAGTGCCAAAGAACGGACACCATGCCCTTCCTGGGGTGCTGCTCTCCAGTATTTCACGACTGCTGCACATCCAAAAGTCACATGATCAAAGAATGTCCCCCAAGGACAAACAACTTAGAAAAGGGGGTGGGGTTCACCTGTCCGGGATCCTAGTTCTCTTCTGACAATGACCCTAAGACAGCAAGACAGGAGAGGCTAGGGATACTGTTAACCATCTATGACGCACAGAACACCCTCCTGCAACAGCTGATTTACCAGCCCAAAGTCAATAGTGCCGGTGCAATGGAGAAACCCCAAGTTAGAGTGAAATTTCAATGTTGTAACAAAAAGACCCCAAAATGTAGTGCTCAAACAAGAGAGAAATGTGTTTGTCTTTTGTGGGTTGGGGAAGGTGGATCTGCAACCCCACCCCTCTTCCTTCCATACTGTCACTCTGCACCCTGCGTGGTGTTGCCCTTGTCAAATGGCTGAAGCTGGCTTTCCAGCCTCACCTTCCATCTGACTCACATGTACGGCTTTGCTCGGGCTGCCGTAAGAGAATGCTGCAGACTGGGGGACTTGAACAGAAACCTATTTTCTTATAGTTCTGGAGGCTGGAAGTGGATATTAAGGGGCGTACAGGGTTGTGTTCCCTGAGGTCACTCTCTTCGGCATGCAGAAAGCCACCTCCTCACTGGGTGTTCACGTAACCTTTCCTGTGGGTGGATGTGTCCTTGGCGTCTCTTGCTCTTCTTGTAAGAACACCAGTCATATTGAAGTAAAGCCCCACCCTTTTGACCTCTTTAATCTTTGGTACCTCTTTAAAGGCCCCATCTCCAAATACAGTCCCATTAGGGATTGGGGATTCAACAGAGGAATTTTTGAGGACACAAGGATCAGTCCCTAACACCGTGGAAAAGGAGAAATTAGAGGACAAAACTTCATCTTTTAGGGACTTTACCTAGAAGTTACACATAAACCAGATCCTTGCATATCACTGGCCAAAAATGGAGTCACCTGCCCAACCTAAGCACAAAGCAGGCAGGAAATATATTCTCTAGCTTGGCGACCATGTGCCCAGCTAAAATTCAGGGGGCTATATGTTATTTTCAGGAAAACTATCAAAGAGAGAGAAAGGAATTGGAAAATGACAATTTGTCTAATTTTTTATTGAGCATTTCCCCACTTTAATGCCTTTTGGATTTACCTCATTCCTGGAGCCCATAGAATAATATCAATTCCCACAGAGGACTCAAGTACCATACCTGACCTGACAGTCTCTTTCATTCAGAAGAGTCACAGAACTGCAGCCACAGAAAACACTTAGTATTTCCTCAGTGGCAGTTTTGAGTCCAGGCAAATTTACTCTCACCCTGAGACACCATGTGTCTCTTATTTTGTCTTTATAACTTAAAAAAGTGGTGAGAAAGGCTCTGTGGTCAGGGAACTGGAAAAGAAAATTCCTATGTCCTTTAAATTAACTTCTGTTTCTGCCAGTGAATACTTGGTTATGTCTTTAATAACTGAAGTTTGACATGTGGTTCCTAAAAGCATTAAATTTGGAAAAATACCTCTGGAAAAAACATCATCTGTTAATATATTAAGAACTATCAAATCTAATTTATATTTTAAGAATGACCATAATAAAACAGTAATATACTTTATTTTAACATATATTAACTCAGTTAATATATTGGCATTAAATAGCTATAATTCTAATACTAAAGTTTCAAGCAGTTTATGTTGCTAATGGCTAAAACAAGGCCATTGTCCAAGTCATTTATGGAACTTCTATAACAGACTATTTATGTGAAGTACCATTAAGCTTTAATGGGAATTATGGAGCAATTACTGAGCCAAAAGACAGTGACTTTTCACAACCGTTCAGTGAGCATCAATCTAAGAAAGTCTACTCACCGTTCTTCTTGTAGAACATAATTTCTCCTTTGAATTCTGTTTTTTCCTCCAGTGACTTTTCTATCTGAAGCATCAGTTGCTCACTGGTTTCAACCCCAAATAAGAATTTGCAGCTGCAACTCTTCTGCATAACTTCGGTTCGGGCAAACCCAGCAAGCTCGCAGAAGCCATCAGAACAGTAGACGATGGGGAACCCCTTCGCCACCTGGGCATTCGCGAGGATGAAGTTGCTATCTGTAGGGCAACAAGAAGACACTCAGCAACTAAGCATGAGCCACTCTTTTAATGCACACTTCCCTAACAATTATGAGCACACATATTTAAATGCCAGTGCTTAAAATGCTTTTAAATATCTAAGTATCTTCAGAAGGCAGTGCCTAAAATGCATGTCCCCATATGCTGGGGCAGCAAAGAAACACTTCCAAAACATAAAATGACACTGACCAACAGAAGTATGTGTTAAGTTCTGACTTTGGCTTGCATTTTGAAATGCGCTGTGGAGGGAACACAGTATTCATTGGTCTACTTTGAGGCACTTACAATCTAGTTGGTGTTCTTGAGCACGGTGTCTGGGTCATATCCTGAATCTGCTACTTGATGTATAAACGTACTTGAACAAGTTACTCACACACTCAACCTCAGTTTCCTTAGCTTTGGTTTCCCCGAAAGCAGACCCTGAACAAGGACTTGAGTGTGAGTAGTTTACCTGGCAGGTGATTTCAGGAAGTAAACCAGTGGGGAATTGAGAACAGAAAGGAGGAAAGGAATGAAAGATAAGAAGGGTTTTATTACTATGGGCAGCTGAGGGTCCCTCACATAAGCACCCTAGAAGTGACTGTGAAGAACACAGTTCAAGGTTTTGCCACTAAGGGGAGAGAAAGATGGGTATTTATCTATCAACACCCACATCTCACTGGTTAAGAGTCACTTCTGGAGTGCCAATATGCTGGCATCTCTGGACTATCCATCTGGGATAAGCACACTCTATAGAGGTCGCTCGGGCAGTGAGATGCCAGAAACCTTTGGTCTATGAGGACAGGGTCTGCTCATGATCTCAAGGGTGAGTGAAGATGGTATTGGAAGGGCACTGATAGGTATGATAATATTACTTCCTTTATAGGCATGTTGTAAGGACTTATGAGAAATGCATATAATGTGCTCATAGTAAAGTGTCTGGCAGAAATAAGTGCTCAATAAAAATTATTAAGAGTATTGTTCACATCTTTATGGTTCTTATTTCAACAAAGAAGAATCAGAGGACAATCAAAAGCAGCAGACAATTGTTAAGTGCTTAGAGATAGCTACTGCAGACAAGCCTGAGAGACAATATTCAGGGAAGGTTCCTACAGGATGAATTTCTTTTTTGAGATTAACTTTGAGATTTGCATGTGATGTTTATAGGCAAAAAGATGCATGTTGGAGATGGAGTACAAGATAAGGTGCTTCTAAAACCTGTTGTGGGGTGACTTAGGTTCAGAAGGAATTAGAGACTATCATTAAATCATTCATTCATCCACTAATGAAATATTTAGTAGAAACTATCACATACCAGGCAATATTAGAGGCTGGGATTTTAAAGATAATATGTACAAAAATAGAAATAGAAAGAATTACAGCATACACTGTTAAATGAAAAAAGCCAAGATTCAGTATAGCATGTTATTAGATGAACTATTTACCTGAAAATATATAAACACATAAATGTGTGGAAGTATATCCAAATATGAAATGTTTAGGTATACCTAAACATGCCTGTAATCACTGGTAGCTGTACCCTTTGAATTTTAGACCATATGCTTGATGTACTGCCTACTCAAAAAGCAGTATGTTTGAAAGAAGTTTGGAGCAGACAGCTTATCTTGTGCACCATGAAGAAGGAGGAATTGCAGCTCTTTCTCAATGGCCAGCAGACAAGCCCTGAGGATCTTCTCCAGGGGCTTTGCCATCTCCTTTTCAACATATGTTGTGTGTTTCCTGAGTCCACCTTTAGGTGGCAGAACGAAATCCACTCTCCTCATCTGTGCTCCCATCAGCCCTGAGCACAGACTACCGATTCTAGTGTGGACATCTGCCTTCTGCTTGGGCTGGGCTGGCCCTTCTCTCTCCCTGTCACCCTCTCCCTGTGCAGAGAAGCCACAGCTAAAACCCGCATGTTGTTTTGAAGCTATGGGAGTGAATTAAATTATCCCAGACTAATATTCAATTCCTTCATATTGTGCAGAAGCATTTATTGAGTGTGTACTAGATGATGGACTTAGGTCCAGGAGCAGAGGCAAAAGTTTATAAGCAGAGCCTGCCTCTTTAAAGATCAGTCAGGAATGTGTGTGAGTTCCCGGCTGGGTCCAGATGTGGGCACCCTCTTCCCCAACTCCACACCTTTGGGACATTCTCTACCCATTCCTCTCTCCATTCTAAGTTCTGGCTAAGAGACTGCTTAGAAAGTGTGAATGCATAGCATTAGCAAAGTACTCAAACATCCTAAAAGAGCTTTTTATGCCCTTTCAGAAGCCATTTTTCAGTTAACTGCTGACATGTTTATTGACTTTCTACTATATGCCAGGTGACATGGCTCCGCCATAAGGCAGGTCCTAGGGTGCAGTGGCAGTGGGTGTTAAAAGATGAATAAAGTGTATTTTCTAGCTCTGGGATATTACAATTTCATTAAAGAAATACATGAATATCAGTAACACTAAAACACAGCATGTAATAAGTACCAAATCAGTGGTGCACAGAGAGTAAGCACTACCAGAGATAAGAGATTAAAGATCCTAGGCTTTGAAAATGTTTAGCTAGGAATAAGAAAAAAATAGACAGAGATGATTTATCAGAAGTCCTGGAAGGCTAGGAGCAGGAGCCTGGTGGGGTGAGCTCAGAGGATAAATGTAGAAACAGGAGCTAGAGACAGGGAGAATGAAGAATACTGCCTTTTGTCCTAAAGTCCAGTTTTCTCATTATTTAAATGGCTACAATAGCTTTCTTTTGTTAGTATTTATCTGTTATGCTTTTCCTCAACTTTCTCCTTTTAACCCTTCTAGAGACTTAGGTTTAGTTGTGTCTGTTACATGGTATGCATTTCAATTTTTAGGAAGTACAATACGAAGATACTTCCATCAACCAATTAACTTTACTTTTTATTATTATTTCCATGTCATTTTTTTTTACCAACTTAATTTGTGCTTTCTCTTCAGTGTTATTTTGCCTTTTCAACTTTTAAAAAGTTAGGAATTATAAACTTCAAATTTAAAAACCTTAAAAAGATTGTATAACAATATTTAAGAAGCAATAATAAATACCCATGGATCATTCATCCAGCAAGAACCCCTGTCTCTACCACACAGATTGCATTTCTCTTTTTCCTCTAAGAAGAAATACATAACCTGAATTTTTTTAATAATCACACCTATTAATAAATTTTTGTACCACTTACAGATGTATCCTCAAGTGACATACTCTTTTTTTCTGATTTTTATGGTGTATATTATGTTATTTCATTTTAAATATTTCTTTTATGAATTTCCTTAGCATCTTTATAACATCTTATGGACATAAGAGCTACATAAACTTCTACAAATAGAAAACCTGCTAAACAGTTCACCAAATTGCCTGATCTGTGTGTGTCAATTAAGAATTAGAGTGTGTATGGGGTAGTTAATTCTTCCTGCAAATTAAAGGAAAAACAAAGCAAAAAAAAGTCATGAATTTGGCCTTTTCTGTTTATATTTAGCACTTGTCCTCAATATGTAATTGCATTTCAGTTGCAAAGAGAATTTAGTGTCAGTTGGAGCCTCGTAAGCTTAGTCTGTTTGCTCCGTGAATCTTCCTTCTGTTTAGGAAAGAGTCACTCCTCTTGTACAGCTATCTACTTGGAAACATATGCTTCCCTAAATACCAGTAGTATAATCTCCAAAGAAGAAACATTACCTTTGCTTTAGAATTGTGTAAAACAAAGCACTGCCATAATGATTATGAACCCATCATGGGTACATCACTATCCTTACATATGCTAAGGGTGTTTAACCTTTTAAGGAATCAATTATGCATATCTGTTATGAATCTAAATGCAACACAGCTTTTCCTCACTCATTTCTAGGTCATCCCTTTGTGTAAATTCAGTTTTGAGTTCCAGTAAACAGTAGGCTCTAAATGTGTTTACATTTAGGCAGTTGATTATTTTTCTAAATGATTCCTTAGGGAAAAGCTGGCAGGATCATCAGAGGGAATCCCAGGGTGGGTAGAGACCCAGGCTATTTGGTCTGACTTCTTGAGAAAGAACACCATTTTCTGTTCAAATGGAGGTATAATAGTCACTGTTGACTTCAGGCACAAAGGGTAGAGAGATAGGAACAGAAAGGTACAGAAGAAAACACAGAGGGTGACATAGACTCCACTACTGACTTCTTTCATCCCTGTACTTGCCCCAATTCTCAGATGAGAACACTGGCCTGGAAATCTTTACTTTCCTGTCCCTGAATATAGGGATTAAAACCAGGACAGACTATGTTTACTATTTCACAGTTCTTTCTGTACAGTGACTTCTTTTCTACTTCCAGCAGAAATGGGTGAATTCTAGAACAATATTTTCACTGCTGGAAGTCTACAAAGAGTCCAAAGCCACAGATTTGTCTTTATAAAGTACATTTATTAAAAGTTCATTGATGAAGGGAAATGCAAATTAAAACCACAATGAGATATCACCTCACACAAGTTAAGGATGGCCAACATCCAAAAGGCAAGAAACAACAAATGCTGGAGAGGATGAGGAGAAAGGGGAACCCTCCTATACTGTTGGGGGGGGAATGTAAATTAGTTCAACCATTGTGGAAAGCAATATGGAGGTTCCTCAAAGAGCTCAAAATAGAAATACCATTTGACACAAGAATCCCACTCCTAGGAATTTACCCAAAGAATACAACTTCTCAGATTCAAAAAGACATATGCACCCCTATGTTTATCGCAGCACTATTTACAATAGCCAAGATATGGAAGCAACCTAAGTGTCCATCAGTAGATGAATGGATAAAGAAGAGGTGGAACATATACACAATGGAATATTATTCAGCCATAAGAAGAAAACAAATCCTACCACTTGCAACAACATGAATGGAGCTAGAGTTTATTATGCTCAGTGAAATAAGTCAGGAGGAGAAAGACAAGTACCAAATGATTTCCCTCATTTGTGGAGTATAACAACAAAGCAAAACTGAAGGAACAAAACAGCAGCCAGACTCACAGAC